CCCCGTCATTCTGTGCTCATACACAAGTATACTAAACACCGCTTATTGCACAGTTTTGTCCTGGTGCTCTCAAGGACGCAGGCAGAGTCTTGGTAACCGGGATGCACCGAGTTTGGCGATCGGGCCCTGCTGATGAAAAGGCCCCAAGAACGTGGAGGCAACATTTTCTCCGCTAAGTTTTCATGTCATCAGTCTAAACTGGAACATTAGCCGGAATTGAAAGGACAATGTGATTGTATTCATTTTCTGAAGTAAATGCACTGAAGAAACCTGGCACTTGAATTGCTGCATCGAATAACCACCGACACTATGCGTCTCACCATGGTTCAGTGAATGATTTCAAAACCGATGATAATCGGGGAACTTAGGCGCAATTTTTCGGCCTTCGCCTTGGCGTGATTTTTAAAGACACTAGGTCTTAGCCTACAGGCGGACAAAACGACTGCGCATCGGAATATGATTATGTGATCACTGCGGCGGCTGACGCCGCTCGGCTTGACGGAGACTGCAACGTCAAGTATCTGTGTTGTTGCTCCTAAAAATAGCGAGCGCTTATGCTTGCCAATTATTTGGAATAATTCGTCTCGCTGGTCGATTCGGAATCACATGGACGCCTTCAGGCAAACATGGGATGCACAAGTTAATATGAAGGCTTAACCCCGTTTCGATCCACGCTATTGAACACCAAGAGGACCCCTAACTCTTCTCGGGCGGGAGGTCCCGTGGTTGAACACTAGGGAGTCGCATTCCATTTTCCGGTCAGGGGATGAATGGCGTTTCCGTCTCAGCCCGTGTACATACTGGCTGTCATTCTGGTAATGCGGTTAATCGACCCCCGGCTGAAATAAAGCGGAAGCCGCCCTCTTGTCACCGGGTACCGGGACTGACGTAGGGCCTTTGCATTGTCTCAGCTGGTCGATCAGGAGGGCCTTAGAGGTACACATCATGCATCAGTCCGCTTCTCGACGCGAGAGCCTCTCTGACCGGAGCAGTTTGCACGGATTGGGGCAGGGGCCCTCATTGTTGCAAAACGATCCCAGACCGGCGCAGGAGCTTCAATAATTAGCTCGGGGACTCCAGTTAGGTTAATCGGCCCCCGGCTGAAATAAAGCGGGAAGCCGTCCGCTTGTCACCAGGTACCGGGCTGACGCAGGGCCTTTGCCTTGTCTTAGTGGCCAGGCCAGTGCGAATCGTGGGCCCCAGTCTTGCTCCTACTTGGTAAATGGGGCTCCAGGGCCCAGAACGACGCGGAACCAAATGTTCGGGACTGCTGGTCTCCGGCCAACGTAGAGGTCAGCATGGGGCCCACATCAGTGTAAGAGGCCCTCCAACACTTGAAGGCACCAGGCCCTACGGGCCTGAGTTCCTAGTGCGACCCACGGCCAGCCGTTTGGGCCTCGATCGGCGGCACTGAGAGGCCAGAAGGACCCCTGAACGCCAAGTGTGCGTGTGTGTCAGTGTGTAGGGGGAGGGGAGGGGTCATGTACCCCCGATGACCCTTCTGCCTGCGTCCCTGGGTGCTCCTTAACAACCAAAAAACCGGAGGGCGGGCAAATTTCACCCCTTTCCCTGAAGTATCTGGGTAAAGCTGCGTACGAAAAATGGAAGCAAATACGCTTTATATGAAAAAGGCAACGAGCGATATGTGAGAAGACGAGCTGAAGCTGACAGATAATTGTCTATGTACGTGATCGACGGGTAGCCCCTGGACCAATGCACCGAGCAGTGTCAGGCCGCAGGCCCGAATAATAATATACACACATTGCACAACCCTTGTGCAGTTATCCAGTGTTCACCGCAGACCGCCACACTGTTCACCAAGTCATTACCCGCGAGCTGTCTGGAAAGAAACAGCTGGCTCTGAAAACCTGACTTGCAATACTCGCAGGCGCGGTGGCCGTAACTTACCGGAGAATGAAGGGGTCAGGTCGGCCCATTGCCGACCGAGACCAACACAAAGGAGACGATGAGATACTCGCGTCGTCGTGGGAGAGCATGCGAGAGGGATGAAGCTCCGAACAGCGCAGCCCTTTGTCCGGCCCGATCGCTGGCCTGTGGGTGGGGCGGCCGTTAAAAGGCCGGGCCCGCGGCCGGGGTGGTCTGTCTCGGGTGCGGGCGCCCGCGGGCGGGCCGCCAGGCCGTCAGCAGAACTCCGCCGAGACCTGCCAACCTTAGAGACGCGCGGCAGTCAGCCGGTAGCGGCTGATGGTAGCCGGCAGCGACTGATGGTAGCCGGCAGCGGCTGATGGTAGCCGGCAGCGGCTGATGATAGCAGCCGGCGGCGGCTGATGATAGCCGGCAGCGGCTGGTAGCAGCCGGCGGCGGCTGATGGTAGCCGGAAGCGGCTGATGATAGTCGGCAGCGGCTGATAGCAGCCGGCGGCGGCTGATGATAGCCGGCAGCGGCTGATGATAGCCGGCAGCGGCTTATAGCAGTCGGCAGCGGCTGATGGTAGCCGGCAGCGGCTGATGATAGCCGGCAGGCGGCTGATGATAGCCGGCGGCGGCTGATGGTAGCCGGCGGCGGCCGATGATAGCCAGCAGCGGCTGATGGTAGCCGGCAGCGGCTGATAGTAGCCGGCAGCGCCTGTTGACAGCCAGCAGCTGCACGGAAATGTCTCACCTTTGATGACTGTCAGAAAGGAGACGCCACATCGGTAGACGTAGAACGCTGGCTGTGGTCCCCTGTTCGGTTTTCTGAAACAGTGTTGGAAGTAGCCACATTTTGTAACAGACGGGATTCGACCCCATTGCGCCATCATGTACGTAAGGCGTAAGTCAATAACTGCATGCTTTCGCCGAGCGTCGTTTCTATGTTTTGTCGAAGATAGAGCAGCTACCTACCTTTCAAGGGTGGAGATGCATCATTTTAAGAACCTGCACCTCCTCCCCACCCCATTCTCTCTCTCTCTCTCTCTCTCTCTCTCTCTCTCTCTCCTCTCTCTCTCTCTCTCTCTCTCTCTCTCTCTCTCTCTCTCTCTCTCTCTCTCTCTCTCTCTCTCTCTCTCTCTCTCTCTCTCTCTCTCTCTCTACTCTCTCCCTCTCTCTCTCTCTCTCTCTCTCTCTCTCTCCTCTCTCTCATCGCTCTCTCTCTCCCCTCTCTCTCTCCCTCTCTCTCTCTCTCCCTCCCTCTCCCTTTTTTCTCTCTCTCCCCTCTCCCTCTCTCCCTCCTCACACATACACTCCTTCCCATCTCTCTCTTACCGTGGCTTCCTTTCCCACTCTCTCACTGACGGCTCCCCCCCCCCCCCCCCTCTTTCTCTCCTGCCGACGTGTCCCTCGGTCGGTGCCTCGAGCCACCTGCGCTCCTGGTCTCTTCACGCCTGACCGATCCACCATGATATCGCCGCGCTATCCCCGACGGAATCTCGGCTCGCACACACACACATGCACAAAGCGCGGCCGGCCGGCGGTAAACACGGTCCCGCGACGGGCCGCGTCCCGGTGGCGGCGGGGGACGCCCGGCCGTCTGCCGCCGCCGACATTCCCCGGCGGCTGATCCCGCGCCGCCGCGTCTCGCGGGGTCAGGGGTCGGCTCGGTGGCGCGGCTCAGGCGACCAGTAATCCGCCGCCGATCTGGCCGCCGGACCGCTGTGAGATCAAACGGAAAGGGGGAAGGTTTGGCGGCCAGATGACAAGAGGAGCTAGTGCGCCGACCGCCGTGTGTACGTGCGAAAGCAGGCGCGTTCACAAGGTTTTACAAAGGGGAGGGGGCACGAGGAAATTGCACGGAAAAAGTTTGTTAAGTGCGGTCCATGCGCGGTAAGTTTTTTGCGTGACGTATGACAGCGTGGCTTTCATAGATTAACATTAACATTTGTCATGTCATTTCTTGACCACATGACTTTGAACCTGGTAACTTGACAAAACTTCCAACATAATTATTTTACGCATCGACCGCCGTTTCTAAATGTCAACATGCAAATAACTTCGCAAAAAGTATAGAGGACCGCGTTCCCGCAGTGCTCGTCCCCTCTCCCTTGAGGACGCTCCTGTGCAAATGGCTAAAATGTCGAAACGAGCTGAAACAGACGGATTGTCGGACTTCTCGGACGGATTATTAGTCGACAGGGACGGCTGCAGTGCACCGGGATGATGGGTGGGCACCAAGGCAGAGCCTTCCTGTGGGATAGCACAGAAGTAGTCTAAACCGAGTATTAAACGACTTCATTCACATCAGCTAATGATCTCTCGGTCAAGGCTGTGATGATCTACCGGTCAGGGGTGTGATGAACTCTCGGTCAGAGATGTGATGGTCTATCGGTCAGGGATGTGATGATCTATCGGTCAGGGGCGTGATCATCTCTCGGTACGGGGTGTGATGATCTCTTGGCCCGGGGTGGGATGATTGTAAGGGCCAAACGGCTGTGGAGACCAACAAAACCCCAATAAGTGGCAAGTCTTACAGGCGTCTGCTGCTTTTCGCTGCGTGGCACACGCCATCTAACATTGACGGTAGATCGTTGAACGGGAGGGAAGGGGAGACGGACTCTCGCGATTTTGTACTTGTTTGTTTTCTTAGCATTGTGCAGCAGTGACCCGATCAGCGGTGCAGCAGTGATCTCTTCTTCCCTTATCCCGGCGCATATCTTACTGCAATTAGTTGTTTGAGTTTTCTTTAGCGCATCGGTTTCAAAAGTCATTACTTTGTCAAAAACCGTGATTGCTCAAATGGTGGTTCCTCATCCAGCGAGCGCGGAGGGAATCCGCTGGATGCATTCTTCCGTTGGTGACCACCACAGGGTTTACCACGTATACCTTCGTCCCTCACCAACCACAAGGTCACGAGATAGAAAACTATCTGACTTACATCACGCTGAGCACAACTTACATCCATATGTCCCATCACCCCGACACCGTCTCATTAGGCCGCGCGTGAAGGGCGCCGTCACACCTGGACCCGCCTGCGCTAAATCACGCCACGCCGAGCGTTCTCGGCCGTCCCGCCGGCCGTCCCGCGTCCCGTCGCCATGGCAACCGACCGCCCGGGGACTGGGCCATTCAGACTCTCCGGCAGCTGCGCGCACCGCCCGCGGGCAGACGTCGGAGCGCCCGCCGGGCAGGGCCCGATCAGGTCTGGATCTCCGCCGATCCAGACCGTGGATCTGACGCGTGGACGACGTATGCGGACGCGGGGCGACAGCGGCTTGGCGGCGTTGTAAATATGCGGTGGTGGTGCAGGTTGGCGAAGTACCCAGAAGTCTTCGGCCTTCAGCATTGCTTATTGTTGATTTTGCATGAGTCAATATTTCGCCTCGGTTTTTCATGGCTGTGCTA